CGTCTTCGAAGTCGGCCGAGATTATTTCTATTAATAGAAGAAATAATCTCGGCCGATTTCGAAGACGTCGGCCGCCGTAAATATTGTTCGTGCTAGAGTATAATCTTCGCCTGCAACCCAACCTAAGTATTGTTCGTGCTAGAGCATGATCTTCGAATGCAAACCAACGTAAGTATCAAGAACAATACTTAGGGCGGCCGACGTCTTCGAAGTCGGCCGAGATTATTTCTATTAATAAAAGAAATAATCTCGGCCGACTTCGAAGACGTCGGCCGCCGTAAATATTGTTCGTGCTAGAGCATGATCTTCGCCTGCAACCCAACCTAAGTATCAAGAACAATACTTAGGGCGGCCGACATCTTCGAAATCGGCCGAGATTATTTTTGGTGATATAGGAAGTAATCTCGACCGACTTCGAAAACGTCGGTCGCCGTAAGTATTGTTCGTGCTAGAGTATAATCTTCGTCTGCAACCCAACCTAAGTATCTAGAACAATACTTATGGCGGCCGACGTCTTCGAAGTCGGCCGAGATTATTTCCTACATTAACAGAAATAATCTCGGCCGACTTCGAAGACGTCGGCCGCCCTAAGTATTATTCTTGATACTTACGTTGAGTTGCAGGCGAAGATAATGCATACGTATTGTTCGTGATAGAGCAGGATCTTCGCCTGCAACCCAACCCAAGTATCAAGAACAATACTTAGGGCGGCCGACTTCGAAGACGGCCGAGATTATTTCTGATATAAGAAATAATAGTACAAATAATATACTCATGTTCGTGATACTTGGGTGGAGTTGGGTTGAGTTGGGTTGGGTTGCAAATAGGCTATAAAATGGGAAGTTGTGGAGAAATATGTAAGAGGGGTGATTCAGGCGAAGCAGTCTAAGGAGATAATGCAGGAATGAAATAACATGAACTACAACGAAGGTAGAAAAGGTACATAGGTGATGCACTGCTATTATGAGGGGAGAAAAAGAGATTTCGACTTTCGACTAAATGCAAAGGTGCGACACTTTGAATATAGTATATAACGCATTTTTGAATAGATGTAGTTTTTAGCAATAAACTTAAAAGTTATTTTTTCAAAAACCAGAACTTCAACATCCTCAGACTTCTCTCTTGGGTACTTATTAGTCAACTGATTCAACTTCATATTAAGTTAAAATTTTTAAAATTAAAGATAAATAGTGATTATAATTGAACAAACATTTTGAAGTTGGTGTATTCTGTGTAAAATGTAAGTGTTGATTCGTTTTCTGGTTGTTAGAATTCTAACGGAAGTTGAGTTACGCGGAGATATTCCAGAAATGCGTTTTTCGAAGAAATTGTCTACTGATCGAGGTTAAAACTTCCAGAAACGCCAAACTAAGCGGTTATAGTTAGTTTACACAAGTTATTTTTATAACCCAGTAAATACCCCGAAGTTTGTTTATAAAATCGGGATCTCTCTGGACATTATCAAGTAAATCAATAAACATGAAATAACGTAAGAGTGCGGAAATTTGTTCTATTGTTGGTAAAAGTTATGATGTTATGATTAAACTGTTGTATTAGAAAGCAACACAAAGGAAATACCGAAGTAGATCTACTTTTGAGAAGTTAACTACTGTAACAATTAAGATTGCGTTTAGATAACGTTACAACTCACCGAGCATGACACAACTTTTAAAGAAATTTACTCGAACGATAATCTTTTGCGATTCTCAACTTACTTTTCTGCAAATAATAATTGTTTAATATTTTTGGTTATTCCAATCGCTTCAACGTTACGAAAGCAAAACGGTATGTTGAAAATGTATTTCTCTAAGTAAGCGACTTGGTTGGCCAATTTTTTTTTCACTCGAACCAAGGACAACGCTGTCGCAAAGTTGTCTGCCTTTCTGTGCAATAATAAAAGGCGTATAAACCGAGTGGTGACTAAAAAGGTCTTATTTGTTTTAAATAATAATAAACCAACTTTCAGATAAACCAACCGTAATGATGAAAATACATCGCGAAGTCAAAATAAAACATTTAACGGACCTCGAGAGCATCTGGAAGACGATAACATGAAATGGACGCTAAAATAGCATCTGTGTGCATTCGAGGGGCATAGAATTATATCTATGAACAATTGACTCAGGATTTAATAAGCCAAATTTTGAAATCGTCCATTTCCTGTGCGCCTATAACGAATTTTAAAAGCCTTCAAGAGGTTTCAAGAGAACCTCTCTTTTAAAAACTTATAAATACGTTTATTCCTTTCTTAATGTTAGTTGTCGGTAAATTGTAAATCGTATACAAGTAGGTAAGAGACCCGAAGGTATTTTTTTCGTTGTTGTCGGGGCATGTTATGAAACCCAAGAGAAAATGACTGGTCTCCCAGAACCTCTACCGCAAAGAGAAAGTATGTAATCGGTAAAACTTACGGATACATATTCCAAGCTTATTTTTTAAATCAAAATTTTTATTTTAAAAAGAAGAAATGAGATAAAATATTAACAAATACACAATTTCAAATAGACCTTATTGTCTATGTGTACAAGGTTCATTTTGTTACCCAAGCTCGTTAACATTGTCTGGGAACAAACACTTTTTCCCAGTTCTCATGGACAACTCCTTCACATGAGCTAATTCGAGTCGTATAGAATCCCCTCTCCTCTTTCATGAAGCGTGATTCCCTGTAGGAAATCTGCGGTTTTATAACAGTTAAGAACCCTTCATGCTTAACCCAAGCTCATCGTGAAGAAAAGAAAAATAATCTATATTATATAATAATAAAATAATCTTATTTAGGCAAAATTTTTAAAACACTCAAATTAAATTGTATGAATTAAGAAGTTTCCGTTCTGGTTGAGAGGATCAGCTGACGTCACACCTGACACACGAACCATTGTCATGACGATTCATGCCTTCCTGCTCCACTTCGCTGTTGAGAACGCGAAGTACTGCTTGACCGGAGAGAGACGTTTGCGTTATATTTAACAGGAAGCCGACACTCTGGCTATATTTAAAATTTATTGTAAAAACAAACCGTCCGGCTTTTCGATATTTTACCCTTGGAAACAGCTCAACGCCAAAACACTTTTCTCGAATAAAAAATTACTCCTTCCATTAATATCGTGCTGATGTTTATCTTTCCTAACAAAAAATCAAATATACTATTAAATAACAAGAAAAACATTTTCATCGCAGACTTTGTGGCTTTATATTATACTATATGGAACACACAGGACATCTCTTATAAGCAGATTAAGACTATTAATCTGTAATAAATTTATTTAATAGAACAATAGGTACTGGCAGAACACATAATGAGAGATTAAAACATTCTTATGGAACAATTAGGGACTGTTATTACTGCTTACAGAATATTGCTCACTGCTTGCAGAAGACTAAAACTGCTTCCAAAAGACTACTTATTGCTTGTAGGAAGCTATATACTGCTAATGCAAGGCTAGATCTAGTTATAGAATGCTTGCGGAAAACAAAATACTGCTGGCAGAAAAGTACTTAATGCTTCCAAAAGATACAATACGATCGACGAAAGACTAAATCTCCCTTTTATAAGAGTAGGCGTTACTTTCATGACCAGAAAGAAGAACAGAATATTAATAATTTCCATATAATATTAATAAAGTTGTAAATATTTGAGTAATTAAAATGAACTTAATGTGTGATTGAAAAAAAAAAAAAGAAAGTGATTTGAATTGTTATCTGGATTTTAAAAGGCAACAACGTACACGCCCATGATCGAGTTTTGAAAAGGCAAACAACACTTGTTCCAAAGTATTGGTGCGGCTACGATCATTTTTAGTTGCCCACGCAAGGCTCTCCCACGTCTTTAAGTTTTGCGACATTTACCGTACGAAGCGGCTTCATTCAATAACGAATCGTGATGAAGATTCACCGAGCCTCCGGGACGTTACGAAAGAGCTCGATGGCTTATTTATTTTTTTCCCTGATAGAGCCAACGGCGGCGACGGCGACGTCGGGTAAAGCTACATTCACCTCAAACAAGGACGCAATAAACATTTATGCACTCACAAGATTTTAATGTTAATGTTCAAATCAACTCCGTAGTAAGAAATAGGAGAATTATAAGTTTTTTTTAAAGTTTATTTGCGCCTGTGCTCAAAAATAAATCTATACAGTCGCTCGAGAATCCCGTGGTATTTTAGACGTTGTCACCATGAAGGGAAAATAGAATCAAAACGTCTCATGCGGAGATTGTGATTTTAAACTTTATAAATAACCCCCAACACAAGAGGTCTTTGTGAATATCAAAATATACACGTCAAGCAAAAAATCGGCAATTATGATTGTTTGGGTTAAACAAACTAAAAAGTTTTTAAACAAACGATGCGCACCCAAAATATCTCTCCTAGACAGAACGGCCTAATTTTTCGAAATCTTGGCTTTGTGCCCCATTCGGGTCTACAACCATGAATTAACACTATTTATATCTTTATACATTTACTAGACGAACTGTATCCGCATCTTTCCAACACGTTAAACACCCCATCCTTTTACCAAGGGGAAATGAAACACCACGTAAACAATTAAACACCCGTTAGGATGTTATCCAATATCTATTATATAAAAACCTCGTTGAATCCTTATAATATATCCACATGACCCTTTATTTTAATTACTAATTAAGGGTGTGTTCAATTAATCTTAGATTAAATTACATTTCTATAATATAATCTTATATATATATATATATATATATGCTCCGTTAGAAACGCTTGGAGGGAAAAGATTAGAAAAGAAGTTTTCTTGGAAGTTCTAAATTAGTTTCAACTTTTATATTAGAAATTAGAAACATAAAAAAAACCAAATAATATATATTATATAATTCTTAACTTAGTAATTAGTAACTTAAAAAAATGATTTAGTAAAATGAAGTTATAAATTTAAACGTTTATTTAGTTAGTAAATAAAAGTGAATGAAATTATAAATAATCTAATAATATATAGCGTAGGGGAAGCATACAATTGAATTTTTTACTTACCGCCGGTTTCTTTTATGGCCTCACATGTACAGTTCAACAAGTAGACTCGTTTGACTGTGGGCTCTTAGATTGAAAGTGTTGAAAAAGTTTGGTTTTGTGAAAGGATCCGTTCTCGTAACGCTTCCGGGGAATCACCACTAAATCTATATCGTCAATAAACAGTTTGCGAAAGTCGCGAAAATCGATCCCGATGTTAAATCGAAAACAGAATAAAAAGAAGCTTAATAAAAACATACGTTCCGCACTCACGAGACGCTATTTCTGTTCGAACTGTTTACACTTTACGAAAACTAGTGGCTAGCGACGCGTTCGGGTACGTTCGAATGTATTCGACTAAATTCGTTGTACGGACGTGGTTGCCTCGTCAAGTCTCTGGAGGTGCACAGAACCGAGACAAAAGTCCCCGCTCTATAAATAAATCCAAAAAAAAATAAAACTTTTTCTTTTCAATCACCTAACTTTACTTTCTTCTTTCATAATTCATAATTACTAACTTTTTAGCATACACACTTTCATTTGTATGATGTCTCATATAAACCAAAAAAAGTCTTAAATTAAACATTACAATACAAATTCGAATCGCATCCAATTAATTTAAAATTAAAGATTATCCAAGTTGTTTGAAGGTTTTCAATTTTTTTCATGAATCTTAAAATGTATTTACCTCCGCTCGGGAAAGACATTGACATATGTACGTCCTGCGTTATATATTCTTTTTAGACGAGAGAGAACGTACGCGACGGAACCGGTTCCACAACTAGTCCACTTTCTTGTACTTTAATCTCCTGCCGTATAATGCTTCGGTGTATTTCATTGATCCGGAGTACGAACTACACCTCAAAACTGCTACTAAACTGCTAAAAGCAAATCTATTTTCAAACCTCAATTCCTCCATTTTTTTAATACGCACATGTATTATTGTATTCCTTTTAATGCCATCACGTAAGGTAAACGAGTCTGAAAAGTGCGAAATTATGAATATTTACTGTAAAAGCTGATGGCCTTTTCGGAACCAGTTTTATTTTGCGAAAACCGAAAACGTCGTAACTTAAATCGAAACGTCCTCCTCTCTATCGATCGTACAAATCTTTTAAAAGTGACCGTCAAGTGGTTGTAGCCTTGATCTATGGGCAATATACGCATACGTATTAGACTTATTATGACGTCTACGGATATAATAGTTGAAATATTGGATCGAGTTTATGACCGTCGTAATCGGTAGCGATTTCAACCCTACGACGCAATAAAATTGTTTTAAAACGTTCAATAGGTAATAACTACAAGTCAATAAATTTGGAATTGTTAAATATTAACTATCATTTTATGTCCATTTGTTTCAGTCAACATATTTTGAAACAGTTTTACGTTTTAATGAAATTACAAACACTTATTTTTGATTGCTAATTGACCTTTGTTCTATCAACGGTAAAAAAATATACTTCAATAAAACGTACAAATTTTATTTTTTATATCAGTAATCTTTTTTTCTACTGAAACAACCCCAAAACTATGCAAGTAGCATAATATATAATAATATATATAATATTAAAACTGGTCAAATGTGGTCCACACAGCATAATATATAATCAAAACGCCGAGGTCGCTTGCGGCCGAGGCCCTGGAGTTGATATTATATCGACACAAAGCTGATTAACATTGTATTAAACTATTAGTTAATCTCAAAACGCCGAGGTCGCTTGCGGCCGAGGCGCTAGAGTTGATATGTCATTGACAGAAAACTGATTAACATTGTATTAAACAATTAGTCAATCTCAAAACGCCGAGGTCGCTTGCGGGCGAGGCGCTGGAGTTGATATGTCATCGACACAAAACTGATCAACATTGTAATAAAGTATCATATATATTCAAAACGCCGAGGTCGCTTGCGGTCGAGGCCCTGGAGTTGATATGATATCGACATAAAGCTGATTCACATTGTATTAAACTATTAGTCAATATCAAAACGCCGAAGTCGCTTGCGGCCGAGGCGTTGGAGTTAATATAACATCGATACAAAACTGGTCAACACTGTAATAAAGCATCATATACGCTCAAAATGCTGACGTTTTAGTTCTGGATCAGTTCTTGATTTATTAATTATTCAATATATATCTGGGTTATCATACAATAAGGGTGAATTCCTCGAGAAATCCATCCTAGACCAAAGATTAATCTTCTCGTCCCACCTTCAAAAATCCATATACAAGGCATCCTTCACCATTGAAGCCAACTATCCCCTCATTTGACGGAAAATAATAAACTCCTTTAGCCCACCATCATCGTCCCATTGTTAACCTGCGTCGAAAAACTTCAACCCTCCTAAAACAGAACTCTCAGAATCAAACACAAGTTCCCAGACGAACTTAATAATCTCCATAGCATGCCCAAAATCTAGACGATTCCAAGTCTAAAAAGTCCCATGTCCTCATTCCCATAACATGCTCAACTAACCTTAGAATCAGCTATCCCAATATTTCGGTACATTTTCTTCGACTTCTTTTTTGTAGTAATTCCAGCAGAATTCTTATTATAATAGAACAGGTTGTAAGAATTTTAGCATCCTAAAAGCATTTAACTTCATGACTTGCAATCTTTTTTGGGAAGCATCTTCTGTGCCTAGCTTGGTATATCGGTTATAATCTCTTTTACGGCAAACAATCCATGTGGATTTGTCGTCGGGTATAATTAAGTGCGGTGTTCTTGATTTCCTAGATTTCCAAATTGACTTGAATACCATCTTGGGTTCTGGTACAAAAATATTTAATTATTTAAATAAAAATATCTGTAAATATATCGATATATTTATTCTGTATCGATAGATATATTAAAATGATATTTGATATGATTGTGTCGAAGATAAACCTAAAAGAAAGTCGTTGGAACGTTTGAAGATATAAAGTTTCATGTAAAAGCGTTAGAAGAAACCTTTTGAAAACATATCTAAAGACAGTACGAAGTGAGACATCGTCGCATGCCGTACTATAATAAAATAGAAGGGTGGGATTTCCCAGTAAACATTAAAAAAAGGGGTGAGTCAGGAAGGTGTTTTAATATTCATAGGGCACATGACTAATCTTTCCGAGTTAATGAGAATGGATGAGTAGTGGAATATTGAGGTAACGTGATAAAATGTGAAAAGTAAAATATTTTCGTTTACCTGAAGAGTAAAACGTGACGTTTTGTAAGGATTTTAAAAAAGCATCGATAATGGACGGAGAAAATGCACCTTTGTTAAATCAAATTTCTCCTTTAAATGATGCGAAATTATTCTTTTACGGTCTTGGACACGTTTACAACGATTTATGTGCTGCCGTTTGGTTCTCTTATACATTATTCTATTTTCAAATTATTTTGGAGATAGAACCAACGACTGCTGGTTCTCTGATGATGTTGGGTAAGTTTAAAAAAATCCTTGTAAAATAAGATCGCTCGTTCGAGAGATTAAAGTGTGAACTTTTAAAGTCTGGTTTACCTCAACATTGCAAGTCGTTTAAGCGTCAACACTTTGGGGCTATTGAGTCTCGAAGGTGATAAAATATCAAACTTTTTCCCAATATTTTTCACATAAATTATGTATTATTATAATTAAATAAATTAACTTTTTTTTTGTAAACAATTACTTAACAAAATTGTATAAGAAAATCGAACGGAGAGAAGTGAAAGGGTTGCATGAAAGCCATGTTGTAAGAGTGGGCGATACAAAAAACGTAAAATCTGTCTCTCTGAATGACTTCACGCCTCGTTTTTGTTTGTTTTATCGTTTTAGAAGAGTGAATCCACTTACTCTATACTTCTAAAAGTAAACATACGTGTTGAAAAGGCGTCATTAACAACTATTATATTATATATACAACTATTGCATTCACTTGTTAATATGCAACAAAAAAAAATAATACTTTAGTATTAAAAAAAATTCTTTTGAGATGAACTTTTCATGATTAATTTTTGCACACCTGTGTCTTGGCGTATTATATTCAAGGATATCATCTCGGCATGCAAATCAACGTTTGATCTAGACTCTTAGGCGACCGCACACGCTCATTTTTAACAACATCTGCATTCGCTTTTGGTGATGTCACCTGTAATTGGCCGCGATGAATCTAGCAAGACAAAGAGCAGTGTATTTTTAGATAATCCCACACCTTCTTTTAACAGTTTAATGGAACTGTTCCTCTGTCGAGCGAACGATTAATTAAAGAGCAACCTCGACTGTTAACTGAAAAAATGAATGATGATTGTGTATCTTGAAATATGTTTGATTTAATTTGTTAGTTCGAAGTGTTTAAGCGGGTAATTTGTAGTTTCTAGAAGAAGAAGAACGTAAAAGGCGAACGTAAACGAGAAACGAGCGGTCTTAAGTTTATATTTACGATTCCGGTTATACCGGAAGCTGCCCGAGGCAATCCACCTAACGCCCGGTTGTATATTTTAGGCCAAGTCGCCGACTCGCTGGCCACACCAGTTTGTGGCTGGGCAATAGATCGACTAAATAAGCCGAAGGCGTGGCACAAAGCAGGTGCGTAACAAGTACGAAGCCCACGTGGACCATTTTCCATGATCAACGCCAAGCAAAACGAGTCCTGTTTGGTTGCTTTTAGGTACGGCAGCGGTCGCCGTGGGGTTTTGCATGATATTCTCTTTAAAACCAACGTTGGATAGTTGGAAATTATTAATTTATCACACCGTTTTCGTCATAATCTTCCAAATTGGTTGGGCAATTGTGCAAATATCTCATTTATCGTTAATACCAGCAATTGCAATAGACCAACGTCAAAGCTCTAATTTAACTACCGTTAGATACACAGCTTCTGTTTGCTGCAATATCTTTGTTTACTTATTAACATGGATCGTTTTACAAAACGGAGAAAACCCCAACAACATAGGCCCGAAAGATATCTTCAAATTTCAGGTAACTATATTAAACTGTCGAGAGAAAAAAATCGTTTCGTAATCGAACTATGATTTAATCGACGTGTTTCGCGCGAAAAACAGAACACAATACAACGCACACCTGTGTTTTTGCGGCGTGTATTTCGCATAAAAGACTCGTGGTTACGATGGTTACGCAAAACTGATTAATATTCTTAAAGTAGGTACTCTATATTTTACGCAACGCTTTTACGATATAATGCATAATGTGACGCGGATCAAATCGAATAGAAAACGATTTATAGAACACGTCAATATTATTAAAATCAACTTTATAAAATTTAATTATTGACCTACTTTTTTTTATAACACAGGAATTAATTTTTATAATAACCGCCTTGGGAGTATGCACCTCATCGATATTTTACTGTGGAATACCGCAACCAAATTTCACATCGCAAAGAGAAACACCACAGAAAGTGAATAAAAATGTATTAAAAAAATTCAGCATTTATACGGTATCTTTGATGTACATGTCTTCGAGGCTTTGCACCATTTTGAATTTAATCTACGTCCCGTTGTATTTAGAGGAACGATACAGTAACGGTAGCGATAAAGATCATGGTATTAGAAGTGCCGTGGCCGTAGTTCCGTTGGTCAGTTTCTGTGCATCGTTATTCGCTTCAATTCTCTTAAGATATAAACCGAAACAATTTGGTCACCGTTTAACTTATCTGGTGGGGTCAATTTTTTGCCTTGGAGGATCTGGATGGATTGCTTATGGGATACCATTAGGTTCTTACAATCAATTGTATGCTGCTGTTAGTTTTACAGGTAATTTTATTTTATTTTAATGAGATGATATAATTATGTTTCTTCAGGAATTGGAGGATCTGCAACGATGGTTAGCAGCTTATGTTTGACGGCGGATTTTATAAAAATAAATGGCTATGGTGGGGGTTTTGTATATAGCGCGGTTACGTTTGCGGATAAAATACTTTCTGGGGGAGTTGTATTGCTTATACAGTATTTGTAAGGATTTATTAATTTAATTTTTTTTTATTTATTTATTTTTTCTAGGCAATGCTCGCCAAAAAATTTATGCCCCTTGTATTACGAAGCTGTTTTAGCATACGCTTGCAGCTCTTCTGGGATTTTAGGGTTATTTTCTTTAATGTTATTGAGTTTTGAATATTAACTCCCGCCATCTATTATCACGTCCGCAAAGATTCCTATTCTAAATGGCGGATTTTTAGGTTTTAATAATAATATACAAATTAAATTAAAAAATATTTAGTTTTGGTCCATAGATAGTCAGTTTACATTTATAGACAAAAAAGGAACGCGTCCTTAACAGGGGTCATCAGCCTAAATATTACAGATTATAACATGTAAATACGAACACCAATAGTTTATCTTTTAAATTTTTTTATAAATACCGAAAATTGCTTTTAAAATAATCGTTTTTCGTATGAGAAAAGTCCATGAACGTTACCCTCCAATTGAGCGGAATGCGATCGCATCTCAAACCGTAATTCTCCGGTGTACATCATCGAGCGCAGAAGGAAAAGGGATTTTGCCCCTATATCTTGGCAACCGTGCCGTAAGCCACACTGTAAGTATGGAACAAACCTTAAAGCTGATCCTTTATCCACTATTGATCCACTGACACCTTGAGCAACTTTTAATTTATCAACCTCGCTGAAATTTTAATTTTTTATTTAAAAAAATTAAATTAATCATAAAAATATTACCTATGAAAATATCGATTCATAGCAGATCCCATAGCGTCTTTTCTATCCATAGCTTCCAAGCTACCCATACCCCTATACTTTTTCAATCTAACCCCATCAGAAAAGAAATATTCCCCAGGAGCTTCTGAAGTGCCTGCTAAAAGAGATCCCATCATAACTGTAGACGCCCCCAATGACAAAGCCTTAATAATATATCCAATGGATTGGATGCCACCATCCGCGATAATTGGAACATCAAAATGTCTCGCATATTCAGCTACTTTATATACTGCTGTTGCTTGAGGTCTTCCCACAGCCATCACTTCTTGAGTTATACAAATGCTACCACTTCCCATACCAACTCGTAACGCGTCAACTCCAGCATCTATTAAGTTTTTAGCTTGCTTTATAGTCACAACATTCCCTCCAATTATTTGTAAATTAGGATATGTTTTCTTAATATATTTAATCATTTCGATTTGATAAATGGAATTTCCTTGAGATGAATCCAAAACGACAACGTCCACTCCGGCCTGTGCAAGAAGTTGCAACCGATGTTTATCCTCATCGCGAGTTCCAATAGCAGCCCCGACGATAAGTTGTTTGTTATCATCTTTCGAAGCAATAGGATAACTTTTTGATTTTTTTAAATCAGTTCGAGCCATAAGTGATAATAAATTTCCTTGGGGACTAACTATTGGTAACTTTCCTTTCTTACTTTTTTCAAGAATACTATTTGCTTCTGCCAAAGTTACCCCAGCTTTTGCAGTTATTAAATCCTCAAATTTTGTCATCACTGTATCTAGCTTTGTATCTTGTTTATCTTTCGAATCCAAGAAATCTATATCGCGTGATGTCACAATTCCCAATAATCTTCCACCAAGTTTTCCATTTTCTGTAACTGGTACGCCGGAAAAACCATGCTCTTTCTTCACTTTTACAACATCTGCAATTGTATTGTTAGGCGACAATACAACTGGATCGCGTATAAAACCATGTTTATACTTTTTTACTTTAAGAACTTCATTTGCTTGGTACTCCGGGAGACAATTATGATGAATTATTCCAATACCTCCACAGAGCTAAACATATAAACACTATATTATACATTTTGTTAAGTATAGTAAAACCTTGATACAACAGGATTAGGCCCAGGATGTTATATCAAGGTGTTACTGTATATTAACACTTACTGCCATAGCTATAGCCATATCAGACTCTGTGACTGTATCCATAGGAGACGAAACCAATGGAGCTTTCAAAGTAATACGCTTAGTGAGTCTAGAGCTCAAATCCTTTCAAATAGAAATATGTATAAATAATTTTAAATTATAGTATTTAGTAATTAAGATACCAACCACATTATCAGCAGCAAAGTCTATAAATCCAGGCAATATAATGAAATCACTACACAAAAAAAAAAATTGTTAACACTAATACTGAAATACACAATTAAAAATTTTACTTGTAAGTCAAACCATTTCCCTTTTCGATCATTTCCTTGGCAGTCATTCCATCCTCAAGGGATAACATGTCGATATGGTTTAATTGTAAAGGATCGCCCATGTTTGCTGCGGGAAAAAATGTTGATTATAACCTCTTCGCCGGTAAGCGTGTTTTTAAATTGTACTCACATTGTATTTACGGTTAAATTGAAATAACGTTGCACTCGTGTGGAAAGTCCACGTGCCGTGCAGGTTAAAACTACTGACAATGTTGTGAGCGTAACTGCGTAGTAAAAGACGACAAAATTGCACGTTTTCACTTTATATTGAAGAGAAAAGACACACTAGCGACCTCTTTCGGGAATTTTGGAATAAATCTTTATTTTAACTTATTTGAGTTTTGAATAAACATCAATTTATACGCTAATTTTTAAAATAATAATTGTTTAAATAAATAGATTTTTGAAATAAGAAAAAAACTTTTTAAATTTAGCGTGCTGGAGTCGGTAAAACAGAGTTTCGCAAATTATACCCAATTGCCATACGATAAAAAATTAATTTGCGAAATTTGATGTGGAAATATATCATTTAATCCTTCATATGACGACATGTTTATTGCTAAAATTGATTAATTAATTATTGCGAAATCACTATAAAAAGACATGAAAAGTGTTAGCTTAAATAAAGACCATTAATAAATGATTTTCAAAGGAAATTTAATTGTAATTAATTTAATTTAATTAATTAACAAATTAAATTACGAACCCCAACTAACTTCACGCAGTTACATAGTTCAAGAAAAAAATTTTAGATGGCGTTTTCACTTACAGTTGCTTTGGTTGCCTATATTATTAAAAAAATTAATTGAATTGATTAATTATATCTTTATTTTTGCATAAATATCAAAATTTGCAACCAATAATAAGCAACCTAAGTTAAAGTTAAAGCAAAGAAGCCTCATTAAGCGATTTTGGATACTCTGATTGAGACACTGCAATTAATATCACTCAAGGCAGCATCTCGGCTATAGGAGAATTCAGAACATATAATGTAGGATCTTGGATACCACACCAATACTAAGTATATATTGCTGTATATATTGCACCAATATTGCTGCTTGATACTACATTGTTACAAATCAAGATGGTTACCATGATGACTGACATTTCTTCTGACAGTGTTTGGGACGATGTATATGTTATTGTAAGCACTCTAATATGAGACAACCCCAATATACATTATCTCATATTAGAGTGCTTACATCGTATTCTAAGATAAGGCCTAATTTAGCCGAGGTAATAATAATAGCAGTTTTAATGATATTCTTGAAAAAAGTTATTTATGTTATTTAAAATGTTATAAATAAAATTTCAATAAATGTGTGTGATACGTTTATTTCATTTATAAAGTTTTATTTACATTCAACAATAGGCATGTAGTGTTAAAAATACTGCAAATTTGTATCGTTTCTTTATTTAACAATTTGTTGATCTACTTTCCAAAAATAACAACAAACTGCAAATTTTAATTTAATATTAAAGTGAAACTAATTCCTAGTGTTACGACTAACACGTCTGATCGAAAAACTGTTTGTCCGTCTTCCTTGGGGTTGCAACAAGTCGTTGCCACGCTTAAAACTTTTGGGAAATAATCATTCCAAAATTGAAATGATTTATAATTAATTTTGTCGGCTGTACTCATGACGTACGTTCTATCCATCAATAAAATTCCGGGATTATCCTCAACAAAAGCGTCCCATTTGATGGGGTAAGGTGAAGAATGCATGGGGTTTGAGTGTTTCGCAAAATTTGTCCAAAAAGTCATTATCACATCAGCAGTTAGTCGATCTCTGTTGTCCCAGTTTCCCGATAACCGCACCCAATATGGAGCTCCCCAAACATATAATAAATCGAAAAGATGCGGAACTGATATCCAATCTGGCAAATCGACTAAAACAGCTTCGGTACTTGGTTTCATGTCAAATCTATAAACGTAAGTAGGTCGATGTGTGCTCATATAAGTAGCTAGAAGAAACGTAGATGAAGCTACATTTTTATCTGTCAAAAAATCGATGACTAATTTTCTGGCATCATCTTGATTTTTAACGGGAGTTGTTGGACTGTAAAAAAACATGACAGAATCCATAAGATGATTAGAATTATACGAGCACGAATCAGAATCATTAGAAATTGAAAAATCCGAACTAATATAATCATTTAAAGCTGCGGATAAATGAGCAGACGTTTCATTCGAAGGCAACATTTCTTCTAAAATATCTTTAACCATCAAAGCATCCTCCATGTTTGTATAACCCGTTAATAATGGTACTTTAATAAATTCTCCGCGTTCAAAAAGAGTTCGAACATTTTCAGGAATAATAGGATTTGTGCTGTTACTCAAATCCTTATCGTAAGTTGGTTTCCAATCGTGATTTTGATTCTCTTCAACAATCAATTTACTATCGATGTTTCTCAAACATTGCATTAGCAAAGATGTCGGCTTTCTTATACAACCATGATTAACACCAACTTTATCCAAAACGTCATCAACCTTTGGACTACCCACACTGTTAGATTTAAACAAACTTCCTCCCATAATTATTGCCGAAGAAAATAAACCTTCAAGTTCCAAATTAATCAAATGCAAACCGATACTTGTAGCTCCAGCACCATAACCCATCAAGCAAATATTTTCCGGGTCACCACCAAAATGATTTATATTCTCTTTCACCCATGTTATAGCGGCACGCTGATCCATTAATCCAAAATTTCCCGGTGCTTCACCATCCCCGGTCGTAAAGAAACCCATTATATTCAACCGGTAAGCTATGGTGACAACGATCACGTTATACCGCAATACCAATCTGAACGGGTTCCATATATTTGGACTTCCAGACACGAAGCTTCCTGGATGAATCCAGACGATCGTTGGGTATCCTTGTGTTGGAACACGACCTGCATTCGTAAAATTTCAAATTTGAGAGTCAAATATACCCATAATATTTATTAAGTATAATACAGTATAATCTTGATATAATGGACTAATATGATATAATTTGTACTTTAAATGTGCCGAAAATCCGAAACTTTCTAAGTCTATATCTAGTTTTTTTTTCAATGAAAGATATATACAGAATAACATCTAAAACTAACACTAGCATTAGAACTAACACTATACCTAGAACTAGAAACATTCGGATTTAGCCGTCTTAAGAGACGTACGGCTAAACCCGAATGATTCTAGTTCTTAGTCTAGCGCTGCTTAACAATTAAAACTAGATCTAACACTGTTACTATCTAGAACTAACACTATACCTAGAACTAGAATCATTTGGGTTTAGCCGCACGTCTCTAAAGACGGCTAAACCCATATGATTCTAGTTCTAGGTCTAGGTATAGTGTTAGTTCTAGTTTTACACTAGCACTGTTACTAGAACTAACACTACACCTAGAACTACCCAGAATGTTTCTTTCTGGTTTAGCCGAACGTCTCTTAAGACGGCTAATCCCGAATGATTTTAGTTCTTGGTCTAGCGCTGCTTAACAATTAAGACTAGAACTAACACTAGCACTGTTACTATGTATGTCTGAAGACGCACGGCTAAACCCGAAACTTTCTAGTTCTAGGTCTAGTGTTAGTACTAATTTTAGATCAATAAATATATTTTACAATCTAGCGCTGAATAACAATTAAAACTAGAACTACCATCCTTGATTTATACATCGTATAGACAAGTCGGGGAAAACCCCTAATTGGAATATAAAAATCATTTATGATGTCTGTTATATCGAGATTTTACTGTATTAAAAAAAAATTAATTAAAAATTATCCTAAGTAAATTATGCTAAGAATTAAAAATAACTTTGTATAATTGTTTTATTTTACTAAAAATGTTTATGGTTAAGCAGATGAAGTTAACGATTTCTTGGTCAAGTGTGTTTCCGGGTCTAGGTGAAAAAGCGCAGTTAAGCGATGAAGACGGCCGATAATTTGTAATATTTATTTAGCGCATTCTGCGGAAGCCCGACGGCGGGCAGCACCTGAAGGCAGATTGCGAGGTTTGGTTTGGCGCCCCCCGGGTTTGTTCGCGAAATAGTCGCCCCTTAATGGTTTCGAGTCACGAGAACGGTCGGAGTTTAGCGCTTGCTGCTTCCGGCGACGGCGGTCTTCGTAGAAAATATGTTTTCACGACAAGTCTCGAAAATGCAAAATAATCATATATCACGCCGTTCTTTCTTATTATACAGAAACGTATAATTTCCTACATTGTGATTTAAAGAAAATCGATTTCATTCTTTTTGTTTACGACTTTTATCTAATTTTGAATCGATTTTAGAAAATTGTTTTCTTACTTTCGACGTGTATTAGAATTCGAATGCATACGATGTTATCTTTATTATCAGGAACAAACTGCGGATTTCTTTTTACGCATGCGACCTTTACGACGAGGGGGCATAAATAGGAGATAAGGCTCGGATTGCGTGACCGAAATGTTGAGAAACCATACTTTTCCAACAACGACCACGCGAACTTTCCCTTAGGACCCACCGAATACGGTTTACAACGTCCAACGTAGACCAATTAAAGACACCGCATACAACGGTAGGTCGCCGTTATTACGAAAATGGGCCATTATTAAACAACCATTAAAATAAGCAAGCAAAATAAACCTTCAGAAACATCTACACAAGAACTAGATCAATTATTATGCTTCATTTTTATTATCACGAATATTTACTTGTTTAGTAAACTTACTTGAAGGAACATAAACGTTTAAATATAAACAATCTTCATCAGTTTTCAACTTTCCATCCATGATAATTTTAAAAAACGGTTCATCTGATTCCTTCATCTTTTCAACTTGTAGACAACTTGGTGCGAAATCGGTTGCGTTTCTAACATCATCCCAGGATGGAAGATCATCAGTTTGCGGTGGAGCAAATTTGAATTCACCTAAAGGTGGTTTAGCGTAAGGAATTCCCAAAAATCCGTGAATCTTCTCCGTCCGGAAGCGCGAAATTTCTTTTCCTTGTAAAACACCTTGTTTTGGGAGATCAACCGTAAGCGGTTTTTGCGATAAGTAACCGCGAAACGAGATTAATAAAGGTAAGACCAAAAGGGTCTTCAACATGGTAGGACCTTAACCGAAACCCGACGCGAATTGACTGAGGGTGCAAACTCTGAAGTGAATTGCGTGCTAAGCTACCCCCGAGTTCATGCAACTCCGGATCAATTTGGAATGATATTCAAATGAGAGTGTTTTTGCGTTTGGGCATTGCGTACAAAATCAAAGACTTATAAATAAAGTCACATTCAATAAAGTTTGTTTCAAAAAAAATTTGATTTTATTTTTTTAAGAATGTCTTTTTTATTGTTTGGACATGTTCCAAAAATAAAACTGAACCGAACCAATCGTCTTGTTCAAATTGATCAAACCCAAATGCTATTGTTAGGTTATTATCTCACGATCGGGTTGTTTCTGGAACGATAATCGATTAAAATTAAAATACTAAATATGAAATTTAATATTAATTTAAATCAAATATGAATTAAATTAAAGATGGGGATTATTTATTTATAATAATTTTAAAGTATTATTTTTTTTTTATATTTTATGAGAATTTAATTTATTTCAGAAATTATATTTTATATATATTTTTTTTTGGAAAAAAACTTTAAAAAAATGTTTAATTCGAACCGCTTAATTTCGTAAAAGTAATTTTAAAAATCAATTTAGTTCAGCGTTTGATTAAGAGATGTCGCTATTAAGTAAAATTCATAATTGAATAATTTATATTATTACTTACTGCAGAGTAGACAAGACTACCAAGGCTCCCTATGCCCTGAATATAAATAATCTCGGCCAACTTCGAAGACGTTAGGTGATACTTCCTGCTTAGGCCATGTAAGACGAATAGGCAAATACTAAGACAGCCGACCCATAGGGTGACCGAGAATGCCATGGGAAGAGACAGTGACGCAGATTGAAGCCAGCCGAGGAAAGACTACAGCAGCTCAACGGTCTTGCTGGTGAGAGGAAAAACTTCAAAAGATGGATCATCCAAGGTCATCTCCTATGATAGGGGCACGCTGGGGAAGAAAAAAAAAGAGAATAAGTTTCCAGCATATTTTCTAACGAAATTAGACTTACATGAGACTATGGGGACGAGAAAGACTCTCAAAGCTGAGTTATTTATACAGGAAAATACACATTTTGATACAACTTTGATTGATTAGCTCGGTTTGTGTCAATTCTATTTGCCATAATTACTAATTTTTATTGGAAAAGGGAATTTTGAAGGAAAATAAACAACATTAATTGCCTTCAAAAGTATTTTTTATTACAACATTTGAGAAAATAGAAAAACTCTAAGAACGGCGCTATTATTATTATCATATAAACTTTCAATAGGTAAACGGTTTGATTTTAATACTAACGGTAAACATCACAGATCTGCTCTGCATGTCATTATAATGCATACAAATGACGTAGAAAAAATCACAGTTGCAGATTCATTATTACGCGGAACTTGTCTTAAGAACTAAATCCTCAGTCTTATGATTAAAGCTACTCCGTTCGGATACTGGCCAAATAAACAAATTATACTGTTATTTATAGTAAATAAAAAATGCAAATGTTTCATTATATTTTAGGAGTCGGAGAAGCCACAGAGTATTTTTATCGGTATTAAACGATTGCATAAGACCTAAGTAGTTACTACAATGATAATAATAAACAACTTCGAAACGCAAACACAAATAAACACGAAACTAAAAAAAGAAAAACATTCCAATAAAATATTGCATCCTAATATTTAGGAAAACTGAATAATAATATTCTTAACAACTTAACTTAAATAATCTTTACTTTAGTACTTTTTTTTATATAAAGGAGTTTTTTGTGTATTGCGATAAAAATAAAACGGGAAAGTGAAATGATGTGTATGAAAAGTAGCTAACTGTATTACTAATACTAAATATCGAACACATTTTATCATTTATATTTATCTACTATTTAATGTCTTATATCTTAAATTGTTTTACTTTGTAAGATTCGTTTTTTAATGATTATGAATGAAAAAAATTTTGATTAATAAACTTTATCTCTATTTTTCTAAAATTTTCTTAACGTATTCCTAATTGAACGAAAAAATAAAAGTTGTAGAGCATATTGAACAAATTCATCACACTCTACAAAATTTATTTTATTGAAGTAATAACTATTTATTGATCATTAAACGTATTTTAATACGTTTAATAGAAACATGCCATTTTAAAACAATAAACAAACAAAACAATATTCTAATTTTTCCATAAATTGAATCGAATCAACATGGAAAACAGAAAAAATATATTCTAAAAAATAGTGAATACCTCATCACAGGGCGGTTGAGACGTCTTCGTTGTTTTCTTTAGGTTCTGGTGAATTAGAGGTGCTCTCATTTCCTATTAAAAAAAAAATAAATAAATTATTAAAACAAAAATAAATAAATTATTAAAACAAAAATAACTAATTTTTGGATTGGGCCCTAAATCAGAAATATATTCAAATTCTTAACTGAACAATGTCTCAAACAAAAATGACCACTTGAAGTTGAATGTCTTTTATGGCACAACAAATACTACTGGGGTACTCAAAGTTGTGATTAAGTTAAAAAAATTGGTACAATGATGATCTAGCTTAGTGCTTTAAGTATCAATGGAGAGATTGTAAATAAGCCTTTACCTAGCTAAGAACTAAGTCGCTATTGGCACATATATGTAGGATGAATATACAGGGTCTGTCAAACTACTAGCACTATTTTTTTTAAAATTTGCATACAGGGTTTATCTAAGGTGTTCGTTTAAACTAAAATATTTTCAGTTTTCTGCAACTTCCGATTATACCGGAAATGGACCCCAACTTCGTTATTTTAAATGGAATGTTCAAATTTTTATTGAATTTTTGAGATTCCCGCTAAATTTTAATATAATTTAATAATAATAATAATAATAATGCAATTTATTAACCCTCAAAAATCTTTTACATATAAATCACTTTACATAATAAAGAAAATTAAGAAGGTTAATTAGGTAGCCAGGTCAGGCAACACCTTGGTAGTGAGGCCTGCTCTTCTCCTGGCTCCTATGTACTATAACAACAAATAATCCATAACAGCGCAAAAAAAAATATATATATATAACTGAGTGTAATGAAAACTAATTCAATCTTGTCTGTCGCTCACATAGATACCGTCTGTATTTAATTTTAAACTTTGACACGTTTAACACTTTTAATGGGCGAGGGTGTTCCAAAAAACTGTGATGCCGTATGTAAATGAATTCCGAAAAGGAGTCGACGCGTGACGTGGCACCGTAAGTGAATCTTTTCTGCGAATATTAACATTATGTACATCAGTACGGTAGGTTATTTTATTACTTAAATAAACAGGAATTTTGTCTTTTAAGATTTTGAAATAAACTACTCCTCTATGTAGAGTCATCCTATTATGCATATTCAGCCAACCACACTCCGCCAATTTATGTGAAACTCTCTGATATTTTTGTATGCCATAAATCAGCCTGAGGCAGCTATTCTGGACATACTGCACCCTTCTTTGATTTTCTTTAGTTAAGCAGGGACCATAGACCGAATCACAGTGGTTGAAGTGAGATAAAATCAATGCATCAGTTAATAATCGTTTACTATCTGCATTTAACACGTGTCGATACGGATAGAGAGATTTCAAAATACAATAAGATTTTTGTAATAGCTTATTTATGTGTGTATTAAATTTTAAATCATTGTCTATAAACAGACCCAAATTTTTAACGGAATCCACGTGCTGTAATTTCTGATAACCTACACTAATTTTAAGAATATCACTAACAGATTTGATATGATTTTTATTCCCAAAAATAATTACATTGGATTTAGTGGGGTTAATTTTTAGACCATGTGCCTCAGAAGCGTCAACAAGGGATTGTACATCCGAATTAATTTTGATAGCAGCATTGTTAGAGTCAGTGTGATGAAATGAAATTGACAACTGAGTATCATCAGCATAAGCATGATATTTGCAAAACTTAAAATTTTTATAAAACGTACTCACATAAATTATGAACAGCAGAGGTCCACATATACTTCCCTGAGGAACTCCTTTAGAGATTAGTTCTCTTTGTGAGAAGACATCTTTGATTTTAGTTCGTTGTTCTCTGTTTAAAAGGTAATGTTTAAAAAACTCTATTGCTGTGTGAATCAGACCAATGTAGTGTAAAATACTTAGTAACAGATGGTGATTTATCATATCAAATGCTTTTGAATAATCCAACAATACAATCGCATGCATGTCACCCCCGTCGACGCTACGCAACACATCATCCACAATATCTAATAGAACAG